GTGGGCATTGATTTTGAGTTTTGGAATTGTAGTTCATCTGCATCAATTTTTGACAGCAGAAGGTGTCATTGAATTCTTGACAACAGAAGGTGTCACCTCAACATGTTTAAACTTATTTGCCCAATGATGCACAGTACTCACATCAACACAATCAGCATAAACAGCTTGTATTCTCTGATGAATCTCCTTTGGGGTGACACCTTCTGCTGTCAAGAATTCAATGACTGCACGCTGCTTAAGTCGCATTGACTGACTATCTGCGCAGGGTTCCATACTTTGCACTTTAACAACACAACCATTCAATGCTAAGTATTCCTGCCAAAATGGAACTGTAGAGGAGAGTCTACTGAACAAACCAGTACCTGCTGCACACCAGTACTGCCATCTGTTGAGGAGTTACGAAGGTGGAGGCATTACTTTTTATTCAACCCTCGTATATCTGTCTATCATAGGATGCCGAGCAAGTGGCTGTGTAATGTGGCTCATTGATCTGCAGGCAGATTGGAAAATGCCTGGATCTGGCCTCATGTGGGTGCCAAGCCAATATGCAGTAATAATAGTAAAAGTTGTGGCCTATTTTTATCCAAGTCAATGTCTATGTGTAATCTTTGTAAGCAGAGCTGAACTTGACCCTGAGCCATCACCTTTGACGTATGTTCAGTTTTTCCTCCAGTCGCAAATAGGCAGGATGATTGTGTAAAAGCAAATAAAACAATACAATTCATATAACTCACATATAGACAATAACACGCCAAAATTTAAAAAACGATGGCCAGGCCAGATGTAATAGTTGAATTAAAAAAAAACAAACGCTGGGCATGAACAGAGGTCGGATGTATCTAAGTAGGAGGGTGAGGCGAGGGAGAGAGACTATTTCCTCTTTAAAAACCTCTTTGCTGCCTTATACTGATTCAGTTTCTTCTTTTATATTGGCAGGGACTTTCTGTGTGCTGTTAAACCTTTGTACTTTATATCGCAGGCAATGAAACACTCTTGTGTATAACAAAGTAACACAGTTTATTTATAACTTCTGGCTCCAACGCTTGTGTAAAAGCAGAAGAGAAGCTAAATGAATTCTTGTTCTCCTATGTAACAATGTGGACTCTTCTTATGTGTGTGTGGAAAGGAGTTGTTTTCAGAAGTCTTCGGCTACATAACTGAAGTTAAAGACAAGTGAAGTCATTAATTTTTCTTCTTTTTATGTTGTCCATGTGCATGTTTTCAAATTACCTGTCAACTTATCTGATCCCAGAGATTTCATTGCTTTTTTAAAAAGGCATACGATACTCAATGTACTTTGCAGGTTTAGTTTTCTAAAATACAGTTATTAACATCTGCCATTTGTTGGTGGTCTCCCATCTAATTATTAACCAGTACTGACCCTTCTTAGCTTCCAAGATCAGATAGGATTTGGTGCTTTTGGGGCATATACCCATCTGTGGTGAGGGAGAGAGACTATTTCCTTATTTTAAAAAACTTATTTGATGCCTTATACTGATTCAGTTTCTTCTTTTATATTGGCTGGGACTTTCTGTGTGCTGTTAAACCTTTGTGCTTTATGTCACAGGCAATGAAACACTCTTGTATATAACAAAGTAACACAGTTTATTTATAACTTCTGGCTCCAACGCTTGTGGTTACATTTTTGTTTTGTTGCAATCTTGAGGCTTACAGTCAGTATCATTTACTTGATTTACTTTTCTGAATAAACTTTCAATGTTTCACATTCACAAACATGTTACTTGCTTTACACTCTCTTGGCTGAATTATATTCCGACTCAGGCAACACTAGCCTTCTTTATGTTCCTTAAAACTCGAGCTCTATTTAACTAACTGCTTCTCTATATCAGAAGTCTTTAACACATCTTCATAACTGCTTCTTTCTAACAGGCACTCAAAAACCAACTCTCCTCTTCACACACAGATTCTAACTGTCATTTTCAAACTCTCTCACTCTAACTGCCTCTTTCAGAACCTTGGCTCCGCCCCTTTGGAATGTTCAGCTCTCTCACTCCAACTGTCATTTTGGCCTAGCAGCCTTTTCAAATCCTGGGCCTACGCTAATCTGCATATGACCAATCGGCTTCACATATGCAAATGAATCCTATCTCTGCTGTTGCTACCCTGTCTGTACCTATTCTTCCCTATCTGCCATATGTAAACATAGAGCTATACACCAAAACTTTAACATAGAGTATCAATTTCACGACACCATCTAAATTTCATCTCTGGCAAACACAGGGTTATGTGTGTCTGTACAGGACAAAAGAATTGATTGTGTGTAGGTATATATACATATCACATCTTCTCTCAAATGACCACTTTCCACATTTCTTTGAAACCTGCCATCTGTCTCCAGCTGAAGTATGTGGTGCTGTTGAATTCCAGCTCTGCTAATGGGAACCACAGGGCAGCAGCCCAAAAGTGGAAAGGATATAAACTGTCTGCTTCATTGGTGATGGTGAGGACTTTAATGCTATTTCCTGAAGCAAACTGGATCCATTTCCTTGTATATAGCCAAGAGTGCCTGGCACTGAAATGCAAGACTAAGCTACGCCAAGGCAATCTAGACTAGAGCAACACCCAAACCTAAAATATTGAAACACCAGGTTTTTCTGCTCATTTGCCATTTTCAGGGGGAAAAGATGTGCAAACAAGGCATCCATCCAGCATTTCATATCCACAATGCATGACAAGAAGCAGTCTACTTCCCCAGTCAGAGAGAAATCCCTCATTATAGCATTTACTTTGTTTAGTTTCCTTTGGGGGAAAGGATTAACACTTAATTGTATACATAACTGTTCATGTGTTTACAAATAGATAAGCAAAACTTATTTTAAGTAAAGAGACTTCCTTAAAAAGGCAGCAGATGTATAGAGAGTGATTCATCCATCTTCATACAAGGGTGCAACCCAATTCCTATAAGAGCTTGGAAAAATTATTTTTTCAGATCACTGATTTTGAGTTTCTCTAGATCCCTGCTTCTTAAACTATGGGTCCCAACTCCAAATGGGGTCCCCTGAGCTCAGAGTTGGGGTCATGAAAAATTTGGCAGCAGTAAAAGGAGATTCCATCTGAACATGAGGAAGAACTTCCTGACTGTGAGAGCCGTTCAGCAGTGGAACTCTCTGCCCTGGAGTGTGGTGGAGGCTCCTTCTTTGGAAGCTTTTAAACAGAGGCTGGATGGCCATCTGTGAGGGGTGCTTTGAATGCAATTTTCCTGCTTCTTGGCAGGGGGTTGGACTGGATGGCCCATGAGGTCTCTTCCAACTCTTTGATTCTATGATTCTATGATTCAGAATGTCACTCATCAGATCGTCCTTTGTAAAGCAGGGTTAAGATAAAGGTTTTCCCTTGACATGAAGTCTAGTCGTGTCCGGCTCTAGGGGATGGTGCTCATCTCCATTTCTAAGCCAGAGTCGGCATCGCCCATAGACGCCTCCAAAGTCATGTTGCTGTATGGAACGCCGCTAACTTCCCCCTGGAGCGGTACCTATTCATCTACTTGGCGGGGACGAGAGACAGGGCCTTCTCAGTGGTGGCTCCTCGGCTATGGAACGCCCTCCCTAGGGAGATCAGATCTGCTCCCTCCCTTTTGACGTTTTGGAGGCAAGTTAAAACGTGGCTATTCGAGCAAGCGTTTACAAATGCAGAGTAGCTAATATAGGAAATCGAATGACCTGACAATGGAATTTGACAGTGCTTGAGAATAATGAGACGCTGATGATGTTGTTTTTATTGCTTTTGTGACGTCTTATTATACTGTTTAATGTTTTTTATCTATATTATGTTTTATGTATACTGATTTGTTGGAAACCACCTTGAGTTGCCAATTGGCTGAGAAAGGCGGTATACAAATGCAGTAAACAAACAAACAAACAAATAAATAAATACTCAAATTTCCATGTTTTCAAACTGCTAGGTTGGCAGAAACTGGGGCTAACACCTGGGCTGTGGCACAGCTGACTGAGTGTCAGCTGCATTAAGACTACTTCTGACCAAAAGGTCATGAGTTCGAAGCCAGCCCGGGTTGGAGTGAGCTTCCGACCAATTGTGTAGCTTGTTGTCGACCTTTGCAACCCGAAAGACAGTTGCATCTGTCAAGTAGGAAAATTAGGTACCACCTATGTGTGGGGAGGCTAATTTAACTAATTTACGAGGCCGTAAAAAATCTCCAGCAAAAGCATGCGGGGAATGCAGAAAGTACTTCATCAGTGTCGCAGATGGACAGTGAAGCAACAGCGCCCCTGGTGGACAGAAAACTGGAATGTTAAATAGCCTCTGACTGTCCATCTATATGTGTTATGTGTCTATGGCATTGAATGTTTGCCATGTATGTGTACATTGTAATCTGCCCTGAGTCCTCTGTGGGTTGAGAAGGGCGGAATATAAAAACTGGAAATAAATAAATAAATAAATAAATAAATAAATAAGTCATTAACAACTTGAAGGCACCCAACCAAAAGTTTTAAAAACTTAATTTTTCCTTTTTAAAACAAGGCAGAAATTCTCAGCAGTCCATATTTTCAACTGACAAAGTCTGTTTTGTTCCCCTCAGTTGGGAAGAAAGAAATATTCTTAAAATGGGTTGTTGTAGGCTTTTTCAGGCTATATGGCCATGTTCTAGAGGCATTCTCTCCTGACGTTTCGCCTGCATCTATGGCAAGCATCCTCAGAGGTAGTGACTGTGAGGACTACCTCTGAGGATGCTTGCCATATATGCAGGCAAAACGTCAGGAGAGAATGCCTCTAGAACATGGCCATATAGCCCGAAAAAACCTACAACAACCCAGTGATTCCAGCAATGAAAGCCTTCGACAATATTCTTAAAATGTTGGTGTATATTTCATTCCAACCTGAGTAATTCAGAATTCAAATTACTGCACTACATGGGTTCTCAGTATCACCTTAGATTCCTCATTCGATCAGAAATTACCCAAAGACATACAAGCAAAGACAGTATCAGGTCTAAAACTCTTACTGTTTTATTTTGTAGGTCGTCTGTGGAGAGACAAGAGAACACCTTGTTCCTGATCCATTTTGCTGTTAGCTGCTGACTCTACTGGTGTCCACATGGCGTTTCAGTACTTGATAGTAGTGGTGGTGGCGCTGGAGTTGGTCAGGCCAGTTTGGCCAGGCCCTGAACCACTCACCGGCCCAAGGTGCACCTACACCTTCATTTTGCCTCAACAGAAGTTCACGGGGGCTGTTTGCTGGAGCAGCGTTCGACCTCCCCCAGACCCTCCAGGTCCAAATCGCAGTGAGGTGGAGGAGCTGCGCTACCAGTTGAGCCGCCAGCAGGCACAAATGGAGGAGCTCCGGCGGTTGGTGGCAGTGGACGGGGCAGTGGTGAGCGAAGTCAAGGCACTGCGCAAGGAGAGCCGCAACGTCAATGCCCGTGTCACTCAGCTCTACACACAGATGCTCCACGAGATTCTCCAACGACGTGAGCGGCCCGTGCCAACGTCCCACCTGGAAGGGAGGGTGGCCAATGCTTCTGCTGAGGCCCTGAGGGTGGCCACCAATTATCGCCATCTGGAGGGCAAGTACCAAGCCCTGGCTGCCCTCGTCAACAACCAGAGTGCCCTCATCAGCCGCTTGGAGAGGGAGTGCCAGCAAGGAGCAGGCAGCAAGATGCGACCGCAGGTACTAGCCAGGAGGAAGTGGTGCAAGCTTGATAGATGAAGGGAATGCTGTAGATGTAGTGTATCTTGATTTCAGTAAGGATTTTGACAAGGTCCCCTGTGATATCTCTGCAAAGTAGCTAATCAATTGCAGGTTAGACGATGCTATTATTAGATCATAGAATCATAGAGTTGGAAGAGACCTCATGGGCCATCCAGTCCAACCCCCTGCCAAGAAGCAGGAATATTGCATTCAAATCACCCCTGACAGATGGCCATCCAGCCTCTGTTTCAAAGCTTCCAAAGAGGGAGCCTCCACCACACTCCGGGGCAGAGAGTTCCACTGCTGAACGCTCTCACAGTCAGGAAGTTCTTCCTCATGTTCAGATGGAATCTCCTCTCTTGTAGTTTGAAGCCATTGTTCCGCCTAGTCTCCAGGGAAGCAGAAAACAAGCTTGCTCCCTCCTCCCTGTGACTTCCTCTCATATTTATACATGGCTATCATATCTCCTCTCAGCCTTCTCTTCTTCAGGCAAACATGCCCAGCTCCTTAAGCCGCTCCTCATAGGGCTTGTTCTCCAGACCCTTGATCATTTTAGTCTCCCTCCTCTGGACACATTCCAGCTTGTCAATATCTCTCTTGAATTGTGGTGCCCAGAATTGGACACAATATTCCAGGTGTGGTCTAACCAAAGCAGAATAGAGGGGTAGCATGACTTCCCTACATCTAGACACTATGCTCCTATTGATGCAGGCCAAAATCCCATTGGCTTTTTTTGCCGCCACATCACATTGTTGGCTCATGTTTAACTTGTTGTCCACGAGGACTCCAAGATCTTTTTCACACGTACTGCTCTCGAGCCAGGCATTGTTCCCCATTCTGTATCTTTGCATTTCATTTTTCTGCCTAAGTGGAGTATCTTGCATTTGTCCCTGTTGAACTTCATTTTGACTTAGATGAAGGGCTAGAAGGCATGATCATTAAGTTTGCAGACGACACCAAATTGGGAGGGATAGCCAATACTCCAGAGGACAGGAGCAGGATTCAAAACGATCTTGACAGATTAGAGAGATGGGCCAAAACTAACAAAATGAAGTTCAACAGTGACAAATGCAAGATACTCCACTTTAGGCAGAAAAAAAAATGCAAAGATACAGAATGGGGGACAATGCCTGGCTCGAGAGCAGTACGTGTGAAAAAGATCTTGGAGTCCTTGTGGACAAGTTAAACATGGGCCAACAATGTGATGCGGCGGCCAATAGTGTCTAGATCTAGGGAAGTAACGTTACCCATGCTCTATTCCGCTTTGGTTAGGCCACACCTGGAATATTGTGTCCAATTCTGGGCACCATAATTCAAGAGAGATATTGACAAGCTGGAATGTGTCCAGAGGAGGGCAACTAAAATGATCAAGGGTCTGGAGAACAAGCCCTATGAGGAGCGGCTTAAGGAGCTGGGCATGTTTAGCCTGAAGAAGAGAAGGCTGAGAAGAGATATGATAGCCATGTATAAATATGTGAGAGGAAGCCACAGGGAGGAGGGAGCAAGCTTGTTTTCTGCTTCCCTGGAGACTAGGACGCGGAACAATGGCTTCAAACTACAAGAAAGGAGATTCCATCTGAACATGAGGAAGAACTTCCTGACTGTGAGAGCCGTTCAGCAGTGGAACTCTCTGCCCCGGAGTGGGGTGGAGGCTCCTTCTTTGGAAGCTTTTAAACAGAGGCTGGATGGCCATCTGTCAGGGGTGATTTGAATGCAATATTCCTGCTTCTTGGCAGGGGGTTGGACTGGATAGCCCATGAGGTTTCTTCCAACTCTATGATTCTATGATTCTATGATTCTATGACATGCACTGTGGCTGTGAGCTAAGCTGTCTCTTCTCTTTCCACAGCCACCTCTGGTGCCAGTGGTGCCTCACAATCCCATAAGTCTTGCCAACGAGAGCAGAGTCCATTTTGATGCCATCAATGATATCCAAAGGGACCAGACTGCAGCAGCCCAACCCTGGCCAGCAAACAAGGCTTTGGTTGCACTAGATGGCACTGTGCTGCCCCCAACCGTTGGGCCCACCAAATCCACAGGTGAGAGGACACAACTGCCAAGGGAGATGTTTGGACGATCAGGGAGATGGAGCGGGTCAGGGGTAACTGAAGTTAAGCATAAAGCACTATTTCTGAAAATGATGAATGGAATGATCCTCCATAAAAAAAAGACACGGAGCTTGGGAATTTTACTTTTTTATGCTATGCAGTGTAACAGACATAGGAAATTGGGACTACTGGATGACGAGACTGGACAAAGTTTTTAACTAGGAGATGTAAATGATCTATGTTTTATTATTTTTATGTGTTTATATTATGTTTATGTTTTTAAATGTTTTATGGTGTTGTCAGGTCCGTAGCCAGGATTTCGTTTCGGGGGGGGGGGGGGATTTTTTTCAGGGGGGGTTTGGGGGGGCTGAGTTTCGGGGGGGGCTGAGTCTGAGTGAAAGAGGGTCTAGCCTAGCAAACCTTTTGTATTGTTACCCCAATACCCCCATGCATATGGGATATATTGAGTATGGTGATCAGATCATGATATGAATAAACATAACAGTTTAAATAATGCACCAGTAAGGCCTTTTCGCGAACCACCATGAGAATTTCGGGGGGGGGGGGGGAAGCCCCTCAAGCCCCCCCCCCCCCCCCCCCCGGGCTACATGCCTGGGTGTTGTGGGCATTGAATTGCTGCCTCTGTAAACCCTCCTGAGTATACAAATATAGTAAATAATAAATATAATAATAATAAATATTTAATAATTAAATAAATAAAACCCTCAAGCCCTCTATCAAAAAGTAACTTCTCCAGGCTCTGTCTAACCATCCATCTATCAGTAAATATTAGAACAGTCTAATATCCTTGACCAAAGAAAGCAATGTGTCTGTTATCCTTTGGTAAACGGAAAGGTTACACAGTCAGACCTCCACATTGTTGGGGTTCACATTTGGAGAGCTGATTATTAATGGACTTGAATAATATGTTCTCTCTAGGAAAGTCTAAGTCCTCCAGTATGATTCTGTGGTCAAATTCCATCATAGAGTTCTATTGGAGGATTGAGAGATTCCTAGACAGAACCTGTGCGCATGATGACAACGTCATCTCTGTGCATTCAGAAGAAGATCTACAAGTCACTCTAAACACATCGAGAAAACCAAAGAACAAGCGGGATTTCTACCAAACCGCCACCAACGGGAAAATGTGAGAACTATAATAAATCTGATTGACTATTATGATAAAAATATCCAAAAGGAAGTTATGTTTTTGGCTTTAGATGCCGAAAAGGCATTCGATCAGATCAATTGGAATTTTTTCAAATTATTATTGAAAGAGATGGACATTGGCTACTATTTTTTAAATTCAATTGAAGCAATATACAATAACCAACAGGCAAAAATCATAGTAAATGGCCAGGAGACAAAACAAATTGAAATAAAAAAAGGGACCAGACAGGGCTGCCCGCTCTCACCACTGATCTTTATTTTAACAATGGAAATTCTACTGAACGATATTAGAGGAAACAAAGAACTGAAAGGAGCCACAATTAGAGGACAAACATACAAATGTAGGGCATTCGCCGACGATGTTATATGCGTAGTTGAGGACCCAGCCACAAAATTAGAAAAATGGTTCGAAACAATTGAGAAGTTTGGGAAGGTAGCGGGCTTCAAACTAAACATGGACAAGACAGAAGCTATAACAAAAAATATCCCCAAAAAGAATCGAAACAATTGGAAAAAAATGGAATATAAAAATAACATCAAAAATAAAATACTTGGGAATCGTACTATCGCCAAAAAATGCACAATTGCTTCAAAATAATTATACAGCAAAGTGGAATGAAATCAAACGAGACTTGGAAAAATGGAAAAATTTAAAATTATCAATATTAGGCAGGATAGCATGTATAAAAATGAATGTCCTACCAAAAATGTTATTTTTATTCCAAAATCTACCAATTATAAGGAATAAGAAAGGATTAGATCAGTGGAACAAAGATATAAGAAGATTTATTTGGCAAAACAAGAAAAATAGAATTAGTTTTAAAAACATAACTGACGAGAAAAATAGAGGAGGCTTGGCAATGCCGGACCTGGGGATATATGCAGAAGCGTGCGCGTTAACATGGGCATTTGATTGGATCAGATTAGAAAATGAAAAACAACTTAATTTGGAAGGCCATGACCTTAGGAAAGGGTGGCATGCATACATTTGGTATGGGAAAAGGAAAATAGAAAAGGGTTTCGGAAATCATTTCACTAGAACGGCGATAATAAAAATCTGGGAAAAATACAAAGAAAGAATGTACAATAAAACTCCATTATGGGTCTCACCCTTAGAGGCATGTCAACGAAGAGAACTGGGTTGGATAAGGTGGCCCTGCTACAGAGCAATTACAGAAAAAAAGGATCAGGAGACACATCTAAAAACTCAAGAGGAAGTAAAGAAATTATACCCAAACGTAACGTGGCTGCAATACAGACAATTAAAAGAATACTTCACGATGGACAAAAAATTGGGCTTCATGCAAGAAGAAAACATCTGGGATAAAATTATAAGAATCAGGAAAAAAACAATATCACTTATATACAAAAAACTATTAGAATGGAGCACGGAAGAAGAAAGAATAAAAGAGTGTATGGTAAAATGGGCTAGGGATATAGGGAGATCAATAAATCTGGCAGAATGGGAAACTATTTGGAAAAAAAACTAAAATATACAAAAGCGTATGACCTAAAAGAAAATTGGCTTAAACTTTTTTATAGGTGGCATTTAACACCACAGAAACTGGGGAAATTTTATAAGAATCTAAACACAAAATGTTGGAAATGCGGGGAAACAACAGGCACGTACTACCACATGTGGTGGCGATGCAAAAAAGCAAAATTATATTGGAAAGAGATTCAGAAAAGACTACAACACATACTGAAGATTCAAATTCCACTCTCCCCAGAAATATTTCTACTGGGAATAACGGATGAGGAAACAGACAAAAATGTGGACAAACTAATTTTTTTAGCGACAACAGCGGCGAGAATATGTTACGCCAGATACTGGAGAAAAGAAGAGATACCAAAGATGGACGAGTGGGAGGTGAAATTATTGGAAATAAAAAACATGGACAAACTAAGTTACTTAATGCAGAAATATAAAGGAAGGATAGAAAAAGAAACAGACTGGACAAGAATAGATGAATACTTTGAACAGAAATGATTTAGAAGCTAAAGATGGGAAGAACGTAATTTCCATGACCCGAATGGAAAATAAAACTAAATGAATAAGGGGAAGTAAGGAAGAAGAAAGAAAAGGAAAACTCCTTGCCGAAGACACCCGGAAGACAGTCCGAAGGAAGGGGGAAACCCCAATTCTTGTCTCTACTTTTTTTCTTAATGCACCTCTACACCCCCCTTTTTTTTCTTCTCGTCTTTTTCTACCCCCACATCTCTTCACTTCCTACTTCCCTAAAGCCTACCCTTCTCAGTTACTCTTCCTCTCCTTTCTCTCTTACTCTTCCCCCCCCCTCTGACTATCTAGACTAAGCTACTTTTAACTAAATCGTGAATTTCGCTTTTTAATCATATGTATATGGAAAATGTGAATAAAGATTATTTAAAAAAAAAAAAGAGAAAACCAAAGTGCTGTTCCAGCAGTCACTAGCCAATCCCTCTCCAATGCCAGAGATACAGCTTAATGGTGTAACATTAGAAAATGTTGACCATTTCCGCTACCTTGGCAGCCACCTCTCCACCAAAGTCAACATCGACACCGAAATACAACACCACCTGAGCTCTGCAAGCGCAGCATTTTTCCGAATGAAGCAGAGAGTGTTTGAGGACCGGGACATACGTAGGGATACCAAGGTGTTTGTTTATAAAGCTATTGTCCTCCCAACCCTGCTATATGCCTGCGAGATGTGGACTGTCTACAGACGTCACATGCAACTTCTGGAATGATTCCATCAGTGTTGCCTCTGGAAAATCCTGTAAATCTCTTGGGAAGACAAGTGGACAAATGTCAGCATGCTGGAAGAAGCAAAGACCACCAGTATTGAAGCGATGGTCCTCCTCCATCAGCTCCGCTGGACCGGCCACGTTGTCCAGATGCCCGACCACCGTCTCCCAAAGCAGTTGCTCTACTCTGAACTCAAGAACGGAAAACGGAATGTCGGTAGACAGGAAAAGCGATTTAAAGATTTATTTATTTATTTATTTCGGGTACTTCTACCCCGCCCTTCTCAACCCCCGAGGGGGGACTCAGGGCGGCTTAAAGAAAGGCACAATTCGATGGCTGCACAACATACACATAACGTTTAAAACCATAGTTAAAACAATTATCACAGTTCAAAACAATCAGTATATAACAGATCAATAAAACTATTCTCATGCTCAGCGTTCGTCTTTCAGAGTTCCATAATTCCATTCCATTAGTCAATTCCTGTCTCTTGTCAAAGTCCTTTCTTTATCTGCCAGATTGTCCGAATGCCTGGTCCCAAATCCATGTTTTCAGTTTTTTCCTGAAGGAAAGGAGTGATGTCGCTGATCTAATTTCCCCGGGGAGTGAATTCCACAGGTGGGGGGCCACCACTGAGAAGGCCCTGCTCCTCGTCCCCGCCAATCTCACTTGTGATAGAGGCGGGGTTGAGAGCAGGGCCTCCCCAGAAGATCTTAGATTCCAGGGTGGGACGTAGAGGGAGATCCGTTCGGACAGATACACTGGGCCGGAACCGTATAGGGTTTTGTAGGTCAAAACCAGCACCTTGAAGATGGGCTCAAAGCCAACCTCAAAAGATGGGCTCAAAGCCAACCTCAAAAACTCTGTCATAGACACTGAGAACTGGGAAGCCCTGGCCCTTGAGCGCTCCAACTGGAGGTCAGCTGTGACCAGCAGTGGTGCAGAATTTGAAGAGGCACGAATGGAAGGTGAAAGAGAGAACTGTGCCAAGAGGAAGGCATGTCAAGCCAACGCCGACCGGTACCACCTTCCACCTGGAAACCAATGCCCTCACTGTGGGAGACGATGCAGATCAAGAATTGGGCTCCACAGT